AATGTTGTTGATAGTGATGCTGTTTTATAACTTCTTTGTCTCTAATGGGGAACACTATTACCCTTGCCATTATCTTGGGGAGCACTATTACCCTCACCATTATATTAGGGAACACCATAACACTCACCATCATATTAAGGAACACCATTACCCTCACCATCATCTTGGGGAACACCATTAACCTCACCATCATCTTGGGGAGCACCATTAACCTCACCATCATCTTGGGGAACACCATAACCCTCACTATCATCTTGAGGAAAACTATAACCCTCACCATCATATTAGGGAACACCATAACCTTCACTATCACCATGGGGAACAATATTACCCTTACCAGCATCTTGACGAACACCATAATCTTCACCATCATATTAGGGATCACCATAACCTTCACTATCACCATGGGGGAACAATATTACCTTTACAAGCATCTTGGGGAACACCATTAGCTTTAACAACGTTCTGCAAAGCCGCTATTTCTGGAAAGGGAAAACAAATTATGTGATTCATTTCTGATTAAGATCTTGAAAACCAAATATTTATAAAATTGACATTCATCAGTCAAGAAGAGTCGTTTAAAATCACTTTATTAAACAATAAAATATTCATCTAGAATTTGTTAATAAATCAGTATGTAAAAGTTTCAATGATCCTCCAGAGCAGTGATCCTCAAACGGGTCGAGGCGCTTGACTCTCAAAAGAGGAATTTCTGTTAAGAGGATGAACTCTTAACTGAGAAAGACCGTACTCAGTATACTATATACATATCAAATGTAATGCCAATACACAGTTAAGCAGTCCTTTAGTAATGTCTGGCTCCTCAGAGTGCTTCTGCCACACCACACTAGCAAAGTGTACTAGTAATGAGCCAGATTGCACCATACTCTCTTGTGGTTAGTTGACATGAACATATTAGGAACAAGACAATGTATACAAATGCAAGAGCCACTCACCGGAAGTAATGTTTGATTGCAGGTCGTTCAGCCACTCTCTTATTACTGAAATATAAACGACGAAAACCACATTACAATAACATGGTCGGTAATGAAGAGAGTTAACAGTATTTTATGTAGTCTTGGTCGCTTCTGTCTTATATCCTTCTGTTGTCTCCTAAACCTGCAATATCTGTTATCGCCTGAATCTACAATGTCTGTTATCTCCTGAACCTGCAATGTATGTTACCTCCTAAACATTCGGTGTCCGTTATCATAACGATAAATTTGTGATCAGCTTAGGTTATAATGTTGACAAATTATTACGACAATTGAGAAGGAAATTGTAATTAAATAGCAAGTAACTGACCAAGGTACTGACTAGAAAAGAATAATTTCATTAAAGAAATATAATCTCTGAACTTCACTCCAACACCAGCACTATCATCCAACTCAGCTACACTTACTGCCACACCACACTCCAACACCAGCTCTGTCATCCATCTCGGCTACACTTACCGCCATACCACACTCCAAAACCAGCTCTGTCATCCAACTCAGCTACACTTACCGCCACACCACACTCCAACACCAGCACTATCATCCAACTCAGCTACACTTACCGTCACACCACACTCCAACACCAGCTCTGTCATCCATCTGGATTACAATTTCTGCAACAGCAAACTTCGACACCTCCTACGTGACTGTGAAGCTGCTCCAGTTGTCTCCTTACCTCTGGTTCCGGAGTCGCGTTCAGCCAGCATGTTGGACATTGCCAGCTGGTTGAGGAGCAGCGTGTTGGATAGATCTTGAAGTGTCTGAATCTCTTGGGCAGCCGTCACCAGTGCCAGCACCGACAGCAGGATGGCTGAGAAAGTTGCCATGTCGACCTCTCGGTGATCTTTGGGGGAGTGAGGCAGACACCCGTTGTTGCTTTATTTATACACTCGCCTGGCATGGACACACGCAGGCACGCACGCAAGCGCGCGCGCACACACACACACACACACACACTCACACACACACACACACACACACACACACACACACACACACACACACACACACACACACACACACATACACACACACACACGAAAGAGAAAGAGGAGGATATACACCAAGTCTACTGGACTTGATCTTCACCCAGAGTGAGGAAGACATTGAGAACTTAGAGCATGAAATACCACTAGGAGCAAGTGACCATTGTGTCCTGGTATTACACTACATGATGGTACACAGAACAGTGACCATAGGACCAGGAGTCAGGGAAGAGAGAGCAGACAATATAAAAGGAGACTGCATGAAAGTAGGAGAGTGTCTGGGAACAGTACAGGGGAAGGAGGAACTTAGAGGGAATACGGTCCAGGACCAAGTAAAACTGAGGTGCAAACAGGCAGAAGAGAGATTCATACCACCATTAAGGGTAAAAACTAAGAGAACATATAATAACCAGTGGTTCAATAGACAGTGCCAGGAAGCAAAACCAAAAAGCAGGAGGGAGTGGAGGAAATACAGAAGGCAAAGGACAGAGGTAGAACGGAATAGATGTAACAGGGACAGGAATTACTACATAAACATCAGAAAATTGGTAGAAAGAAATTATGAAAATGATATTGTCTTCAAAACAAAGAAACAATTGAAACCTACATAGCCATCAATATAAGAAGGAAAATAACAGTGAATGACCAAGTGACCAAATTAAAAAAAAATGGGAGGCTAGAATAAAACAAATTGTGAGGAGCTCAATGCCAGCTTCCATGGAGTGTTCACTACTGAGCCTGAATTATTATTATTAACATCTTTATTGACAAAATTAATTACAATGTTGCCTAATCTGAGGATTTTGATAGTCTTATTAAAGTGAGGATAATGCTGGTATTCACTGTCACGCAGGACAGAGGGTCATACATAAGACAATAGGTCTAAACTGAAGGCTGTCGCACATATATATCATGGTTACAATCAATGTTTTAATGTATGGATATGTGAAAACAACTTTCTACTGTGCACTGCCACACAAGGGCAGGGATGGGTTCATAAGTGATGCATCTTAGAAGTAATATAAATAAAAATTGGTCTTTATTCTTTAAAATGGACAAGCAAATTTTGGGTAAATTGTTAGGATGTCGTCCAGAACACCTGAGTCAATAAAATAGTTACACAGTTGGTGGAACAAGAGGCCAGGAGGTCTAAAGTCCTTTACGGTTTCACATTCAACAATATAGTGTTCTAGTGAATGCATTAAAGGTTTATCACAGAGTTTACAATCTGAGTATTCTGGTAGTGGCTCAGCCTCTCTAACCTACCAGATGTGTCTATAGCCAAGGCGAATTCGCTCAATGACTACATCACATTGCCTGGTTCGGTTACTGTGCTGACCATACAAATACCTATTATTACAAAGCTTGTCATAACTTTTAATACTGCAGCTTTCAGGTCTCTGGGCATTTCTTAGTTCTTCTAAATCTAAATTAACTTCTTTAATTTGAATGTTTCTAATAACTGCATTAGATAGTGCAAAGTCATAATCAATGTTTTCTTTCCTGCAAGCCTCATTGGCCAATCGATCTACAAAGTCATGTTTTCCAACTCCAACATGGGATGGGATCCACACAAATTTTATACAAGAGTTATTATCATTGGCAAAAATTACATTCCATTTAATATTACAAGCAACTTCCGACATACATTGTGATGGGTTATTTAAGGACTGCAGAGCACTTTTAGAGTCACAGAAAATAACTCCACCACCATTGAGCTTAAGGTATTCAGTGGCTAGATAAATGCCCAATAGCTCGGTCTGTGTCGTGCTTGCAAAGTTGTTCAATCTTTGTGTACTAGTCATGATCATTTCATTCCCTTTATATACTGCACATGCACAACCTGTTCTACCAGTGCCTAACTGCACAGAGCCATCAGTAAAGGCATAGGATTCAGTCGGGTTGAGAATTTGAAGATGACTGTCAATAGCTTCTAATGTTATACATCTCAAAATGTCAGTGTTATACATTTGTTTTACACTGATGGGGGTATAATGCAGAGAGACCTCCACATCTTTCCAAGGGGGGAATATAGTGAACAGTTTTATCAGGGTTAAGAGACACATTCAGTTTCTGAAGATTATAGGCACAACAACTGAGCCACACACTGTAGGAAGCTTTTTGCGGCGGATTGAAGGAACAGTCAAAATTGTTTAGAATGAATCTCAATTTAATTTGAATACAGCTGGGGGGGGACCATTATTTTTCAAAGTTTTGGCGCAAAACATAGTACTAAGTAGAACTATTCTTTCGTAAATGGAAGGTAAGTTTAGTTCCTTTCTCATGTTAACAATTCTGACAGTTCTAGGACAACCCAGGATGATGCGCATGGCATCATTCTGTACTACATCTAGGCCTTGTAATTGTTTAGGAGAAAAATTAAGAAGATTCAAGGCATAATAATCAACAACAGATCGTATAAAGGCAAAATAAAAACTACGAGCATATTTTAGGTTAATGCCAAATCCTTTGCCAACAAGAGTTTTGAGAGGTTTAAGACGCTCAACTAGTTTTTTGCGCAGGTTGCTGACGAGATTTGTATCATTAACCTCGACTCCGAGATATTTATAAGACTCGCACGTCTCCACGGGCACTCCATTAATAGTATTGTTAACATGAAGAGAATGGGGAATAAGAACCCTTGTTTTATCAACAGAGATTATGAGGCCACATTCTACTACTTTCTTGGAGAATGCATCAAGTAACACTTGTAGCCTTGGTTACTGTGTTCCATAATACAAATATCATCAGCATAACATATTACAGTTTCCGTAGGTTGTACAGGTATGTCATGGATAAGTTTGTGCATAAGTATATTGAAGAGCATAGGGCTTAGGACACCACCTTGAGGTGTGCCTAGTTCGAATGCATCTGTTCTTGTACTTTTAACTCCTTTAAATAGGACACTAGCACGCCTGTTGGATAGGTAGCTCTTTATCCAACTCAGAAGATTACCGTTGATTCCAAATTCAGCAAGTTGCTCTAATATTATTTCGCCATTCGCTACATCGAAAACTGACTTTAGGTCAATAAAGGCTGCCTGTGTCCCATCCTGGGAGTTTACAAAATATTCAGCAAAGCATGTTTGTGTGCTACACTTGGGCATGAACCCATATAGGTTTGGGGCCAGTTTTTCTTTGACCTGAAACATGACACGATTGAGAACAATTCTTTCCAAGACTTTACACATACAAGATGTAAGGGAAATGGGTCTGAATCTTTGAGAGTTAGGTTTAGGAATTGGTACTATGAGACTTTGTGTCCATTTCTTTGGCAAGATACCTTGTGAGAGACTCATTTGATAGAGGTCAAGCAGAGGGTGGCTAGGGACATCATTCAGTAAGCTCAAGATGTTATAAGTTATACCATCCTCACCAGGGGCAGTTAGTTTAGGTTTCCCTAATGCTGATGTCAATTCAAAAGGGGTTATAGCAAACTGATCTGTTAAATCTGGTGAGGAACGTGCTATTTCAATATTAAAGTTTCTGTTAATGTTGGTATTATTTAAATGCTGCTGTATATCTGGGGGTAAGGAAGAAATTTGTGAGACACTAGACCATTGAGCTAGGAGCATGTCAGCATATTCTGCAGGAGTATGATGAAGCTACTCCTGAGCTTGAATGGCTTCCATAGCTAGATGAGGAAGTAGGGAGAAAATGAAAAATGAAATGATAAGCCCCTAATGAAAAACTAATAAATATTGAGGTAAGAGAAACGCTGGCAGATATAAACTTATTTCAGTTTCAACACTGGCAAAAGTCTGAACAGCTTTCATGAACTTGAATAAGGAGGCTCTCAGATTGCTGTCCAAAAGCTCTTGGGCCTCTAGCGGGGTCTATATGAGCTAGAGCTCGATTCAACAGGCACAACTAGCTGAGAACAAACACCCACACCGGCAGAGGCAAAAATAAATGGCCAGAGTTTCTTTTACTCTGGTGCACCTGTTCACCTAGCAATAAATAGGAACCTTGGAGTTCGACAGCTACTACGGGCTGCTTCCTGATGATGTGTCGGTGTGCACGTGTGTTAGAGAGAAATAAATATAGTAAATGTGATAGCTCGGTAGAAAGGCTGGTTCCAAGAGCAAATAGCTCGATTCTGCAGGAATAAATAGTAAATACAATCTCACAAACATGTTACCTATTTAGAGTAGTTTCTACTCCTCAAATCAATGGATGGAGTATGGCTGTGTGTGTGTGTGTGTGTGTGTGTGTGTGTGTGTGTGTGTGTGTGTGTGTGTGTGTGTGTGTGTGTGTGTGTGTGTGTGTGTGTGTGTACTCACCTAGTTGTGTTTGCGGGGGTTGAGCTCTGGTTCTTTGGTCCCGCCTCTCAACCGTCAATCAACAGGTGAACAAATTCCTGAGCCTATTGGGCTCTATCATATCTACAATTGGAACTGTGTTTGGAGTCAGCCTCCACCACATCACCTCCTAATGCATTCCATTTGTCAACCACTCTGACACTAAAAAAGTTCTTTCTAATATCTCTGTGGCTCATTTGGGCGCTCAGTTTCCACCTGTGTCCCCTAGTGCGTGTGCCCCTTGTGTTAAATTGCCTGTCTTTATCTACCCTTTCAATTCCCTTGAGAATCTTGAATGTAGTGATCATGTCCCCCCTAACTCTTCTGTCTTCCAGCGAAGAGAGGTTTAATTCCCGTAGTCTCTCATCGTAGCTCATACCTCTCAGCTCGGGTACTAGTCTGGTGGCAAACCTTTGAGCCTTTTCCAGTTTAGTCTTATCCTTGACTAGATATGGACTCCATGCTGGGGCTGCATACTCCAGGATTGGCCTGACATATGTGGTATACAAAGTTCTGAATGATTCTTTACACAAGTTTCTGAATGCCGTTCGTATGTTGGCCAGC